GGGCTTGGCAGTGTTAGGCTAACGGTTGGACTTTACGATCTTAAAGGTCTTTTTCCAACCGAAACAATTCTATGATTCTATGACACCATACAGGCTGGAAAATAAGGGCCATTAAAAGACAGGAGGGAGGCTGGAAGATGAAGATAGCTTCACATGAGAAGGGGTACCCCTTCTCCTGCCTCCCTCAGCTACCAATCCACAGGATGCTTTGAAATCAGTCCCTTTGCTCCAGGTTCATTTTGCACGGGGCCATATGCCTTGATCTTCTGCCCCTTTCCTCCTCCCCAGAGTCTTCTTAAAAGGATACTTGGAATAGCTTCTGTGTGCTACAAAACATCTAACAGGGCTGGACTGAATTTTAAAGGAGTTAATTTCAGTAATGCAATAACTCATTGTCCTGTCGTATTTCATATTAATCAATGAGCATTAATTCAGTCTCCACCGAGCATCAGTAATGAATTTTGCAAACCTTACGGACTGAACTTGTATTGCCTGAAAATATTGTATTGCTACAGTGAAAAGAGCAAGAGAACAAAACAAAATAAGCTGTGCTATGTTTTTATATACTTCTTGCTTCCTTCTTCCTTTAAGATAATCTATTAATAAGCCTGAAGGACACACAAATGTAAGTATTTCTGTCTGTTGTTTATTTGCCAGTCAGTTCCACAATGTTTTCCAATTAGGCAGAGACTGTCAGACCATAATGCAAGGACACCCGGGAACACAGGGTGGCACGAGAACACCCACACTGTACAACCGGAGCCATAAAACAGAAATGTGTAAGTCAGAAGCAGCAAGAGTAACTAATTGGAAATGTTTCCCAGCAGAAAAATTAGTGTTTCATATTCATAATGCGAGTGCCAATAAACAAAGAGACATCAGCTATTTATTTACTTTCTGACAGTCCAATCATGTGGCTGCGAGACAATAGGAAACTGCTCATTTTTCAAGAAAGGGCTACATGGCACATGGCATTTCAGCCACTAACAACTCACATGATCCTTTTTTTTTTTAGAGCTTAGCCGCAATTTTACTCCCTTAAATCAGGAGCGACTTTGCTGAAGTCAGACTTACCCCAGGGAAGAACAGATTCAAAGCAAGAGAATTACACAAACCAGCTCCACAGCAGGAGGAGTCTCCAACCCTGAGAGGGATTTGTCCCTGCATCCCAGTTCACTGGGTTATCCGCAATCCCTGTGGATCATGGAGCGGCAGAGGCAGAGGTTGATCACAGGTAGCACTGATAAGCCTCCCACAACTAAGAGGCAGGTATTCTGCACGCAAGCCACTGCAAGCCCAAGGCAGGTGGCTTTACAGAACCATTTCCCAAAGCCCGCCTCTTTGCTAAGGGGTTTTCAAGGTGCTGTGCACCTCCTGACCGCGCTATTGATGCATTTCTAGCTGAGCTACAGCACTCTGGTACTTCGCTGACTCACACTCCATCAAGTACGAGACAAAGTGTTCGATTTGTACAAAATTCTGATTCTGCTGTATAAATCCCCACGTGCTCCTTACGGAGCGGCATGCATCCCTCTCCTGATGCCCTGCACAACCCCTGCAAGGAGCACAAAACCCAGTTCAGCAGAAAGCACCGGGGTGTCGCTGGAGCTGTGCAGAGGACCTCTCGCTGGCAGAGCTCCCTATGCCACACACTCTCCAGTTCAAGGGCAAGACAAGGGACAGAGTATTGGACATTAGAGCTCTCGGGGGTTATCTCACCCTACTTCTATGCATGGTGATGTTTATGTGTTGCTCTGCTGCCTCTCTAAATTTGAAGAGCAGCACTTTGCCTTTCATGGGCACCAATTTACGTCTTCCACCCCAAAAATGAACGCTAATTAATACTAATAAATCACATTTTCAAGGCACCAGTGTACTTTGCAAAGCCTACCTCAGCGAGATTAAGCTCTTGTGTCGCTTGGGTAGTTTGGAGAACTGCCCTAGGCCAACATAATTTTTACCCTAAATATTAATGATGTTAAATAATTTCTCAGTCCCTCCAGAGGAACAGATTATTCCACAAGCATGGGGAGCTAGGGACCACAGGACATTTCCTCTTTAGTTTTCTACATCCATGTTGTTTGCGGATAGGACAAAGTGTTAAAACTAAATCTAAGCAGCAAATGAAAGACAGAAAACAGCTATGCCTGAAGAGATCTTGCACCTCTGGCCTGGTGCAGAAACATCTGCTGGCTCAAAGCTATCCCCTAACCTTGCCTCTCCAACAAAGTCATGCTGAGAGGTAGCAGGATGCTGGTGGAAAGAGTCAGCCTGCCCGTCTTTGTTTCCCTGCAATGCTTCCTCCCTTCCACGCCACGTACTAAATCCTTCCGTATTAACAAGCCTCCAGATAACAGCATTGACCCTTCACGTCACAGCACTGAGAATCAGACTTGCCAGGGCCCCAGCACTGATGTTCTAAGCAAAAGCCTTGCATGCTTGGCGTGGCATAGGTGCCAGTTGACAGAGCAACCACAATAACATGCATGAAGACACATCCACACCAGTATTACTGCCCACAGGCTCTAGGGTAATACATCTGCCTGCAGATTGTACCTGCCTGTTTATTCCCATACATGCTCTTTCAGGCAGGTGTCTCAAAGTCATCTGCAGCACACCGACCTCCTGCTGAGTTAAGGACACCTACAGCTCAGTGCATCTGTGCCAGGCTGGCTCCCTGCCACGTGCACAGCACTCCCTCTCCCCTAGACTCACAGCTGGATCGCAGGCAGGCAAGCATCCTCAGGGACAGCACAGCTGCAAGGCTTGAAAACAGAGGGTATGAAAAAGCATCATCTTTGCTCCAGTCCAGGGTGAAGCAGGGAAGTGGCTGCCAGATCGGGAAGAGTGCTCTCTGGATCTATTTGTTCCTCTAGTATTTTCCGTAATAATTAAACCCCTACCATTGAGTAGAGAGATGGCTAAACATCTTACCAACACCCCTCCCTGCCATTTTCCTACTGTTCCATGTGCATCTTCCCTCGTGAACGCTCAAGGAAGGGCAGGGAGGGAAAGCGCAGCCCGTCAGTCCCTGCTGCAGCAGCTAACAGCACCATGCAATGCCAAGATGTGACTAGCTGCAGACTGCCTGACCACAGCCTGGAGCAGACCTCACAGCAGGGTGTGGGCTATAACCAGTGTGCAAAAAAAAAAGTGACAACTTTAGAGATAATGTTCCGCTGTCTCACTACTGTGTACAACATGATATGCAATAAGGTGACTCCAGCTTTCAAAGGCGGTGGTCCTCACTCTAATCAGGCTCACTTCCGCTCCTCCAAATAACAGGTCACTTTTAAACACTTTTGTATTTATAATTAGTGGAGCAAACCCATAATTGTGCAGCAATGGCCAGATACTGGAAACTAATACCTAGAGAGGCCGCCCAACCACAGACAGTAGGCTCTCTCATCCCTGAAGCCAACAGACATTACATTAAATGTTCCAGCACTGAAGGATAAAAACAGTCTGAAACGTGTAAGAGCCTCCAGCCTATGAGAGCATAACCTTCACCGTGGGGAAGGATCCAGTGCAACCCCACCGAAACCAGGACAGTTCCTCAATATCCACACCAGATGCCCTGTTCTGAATCCAGCCCTGCACATTCACCTTCCACTGAAGGCACCAACCTCTTGGGACCTCTGGTCTCACCTTGTTCTCCTCAGGGGTGAAAAGGATGCGGAAAGTTGAAGGCATGCCAGGTGCTACCTTACGACACACAGCATTGGGGCTGATCAACTTGAAATAAGGTGAGCTCTCCAAGACGACCTTCACCAGCCGAGGAACCTGCAGGAAAGACATGAAACTATGATTTTGCCACTCGTGGAAACATGAGGAGAAAAGACTCGGCCAATCCTTCCTTAACCACCTTTCCAAAGCACTTTCAGCTCTGGAGGTACACGCACATAATACACAAGGGTGGACTTGAAGCCATTCTGCCTGGGCAAAATAGCTCTAGGCCAGAGGCAGTAGGGCATTGCCCTGCTGTGAAGGAATCGCCAAGCAGGTAAGACACCAGCAGTATGCAGATATAATACCTGAATCAAGTCATCCCCATATTCAACAAGGCCAAAGAACCTGCTTGCTTCTGCCTGCACACATCCATGCAGTCATGCCTCTAGAGGGGGAATGTATTATCTGAAGGCAAAACAGTGTGTGTTATACTGGGGGAAGGAAGAAATTCACTTCTAACACACTCGGTTTGAATGGGGCAGTCAAGCTGCGGTGCTAGAGAGTCATGCGGGCAGACCAGCAAGAGAAGGAGACTGCAGACATTGTGGCCTTACTGGGAATTAAAAGCAAGCCTGAAGAACAAAAGGAGGAACGTAGGAAAACAAAGAGAGAGCCCCAGACACAAGAAGGAGATGGCTAAGAGCATTTAAAGGGGGCTGTAAAGAAGCAAGGGAGAAGCCCGACACTCCACAAGGAAAGGCTGATGCAGAAGATGAGAACAGTCAACTTGCCAAAATGATGGAAAGCCAGACAACCCCTCAGGCTGTGCCTATCAATTATGGGCTTCAAAGGCATTTTCTGCCTTGTGACACATGACCAGCACTGACTCACAGTGTGGTTTCATTATTAAAAGCCAATCTCGGCTCTCCAGAGGCTCTGGCTGCCTGGTGATTGTAGCCGGGCAGCTGCCAGCGCAGGCAAGGCAGATTTCTGGGTATTCCTCCCCGCACCCAGGAGTCCCTGCAGGCACCTTGCTGCAAGTTTCTGCCCTCTGGGATACCACAAGCGCAGAGACAGCAAACAGGCATTTTCTAGCACGCAGATATCAACGCCTGAGCACTAAATCTCATCTCAGAAAGTCTAAAACAGGCGATTTTGACTGACAGGCAGCTTCACTGATAAGCAACAAACCCACACGAGGCTTGGGAAAAATGGAGATTCATTCTGCACCACCCACCCGAGCCTGATAACCCATGGCCAAGGCAGTCCTGAACTCTCCAAACGCCCTTTGCTCCCAGCAATGCCCTGGGGCAGCGAGTTCCAGGAGCCAATTTCACACTGCAGACAAATGTTTTGGTCACCAGGTCCCTTGGGAGATGAGCACACGTGGCTAAGGCCTTCAGCAAAAGCCACCCAGAACATCTCTGAGGGTGGTGAGGAGCAGCCTGAAGACAGAAAAGCAATTTTACAACACACAGGTAAGAGCAGTAAGTATATAGCGAAGCACTTCTGTATTTGAATGATTACAGAGCCTCTCTTTGGAATATACTTTGCTGTTAGCTGGATTTTTATGGAGCAGACAACCTCAGGCTACCATGCGGTATAAGTCAGTATGATTCAGCGGAAGCTGGGAAACTGGTGAGAAAGCTTTGAGACAGAGCACAACGTTGCTTTTCTCCAGGACATTACCAAAAGCCAACAAAATCAGAATATAACAACCTCTCTTGGGATTATCATCTCCATTTTTCTGTACTTAAATATGCCAAGGATTTTCCTTAGAGCTGATCTTACTTTTACACCAGTGCTGTCCAATGGTTGAAGTCTTACTAGCTTCAAAACTAATTCATTTGGGGGGAAAAAAAAAAATGAAGAAATCAACAGTTCACATATTGCCACCCCCTTGCAGGGCATACAAATCCCAAGGTGCAGCTGTACAAGTTTACTTTTCACTGGGAATGGCAGAAATGTTGATGCAGATGTTCTTTTCCACTTGAGGAAGCATGAACAGAGCAAATCAACTGTTTGCCTGTTGGCTGGTACTTGGCAAAAACAAACATTTTGAAGTGCCGCATGGATAATGGACCCGCTGAAGCCAAAAGACTTACTGGGAACGAAGCAGAGCAGTAGGAAAAGAGAAGCTGAGGCACATTTTAATCAGGAAAGGGGATACCTACAGCAAAAAGTCTCCAAAATCAGTGTGGTATCCCTTGGGCACGGGCACCCACACTGCATCTTTCCAATATTCCCAAGCTAAATCCAGACCAGGAACGGCACAGTACTCTCCAGCAATAACTGAGGGACCACACCTGCATCCTTCCTTGCCAAAGGGTCTTCCATTTTCAACCATGTCCCCGTCAAAACCTGTTATCTCAGAATACACTTTGACTTCTCTTGCCATTCCTCCACCTGCAATATGCCCTGACAGCTTTTTTTGTCCACTTGTTTGTTTCCCCCAACAGGTAGATTTGGAGAGGGGGTTAATTCACCTGCTCTCGTGTACACTTCCATCTTCCCATCCTGCCCTCCTCTCATGTATAAATCTTACTCTTCATTACAGAATAGTATCTTTAATTACACCTTTCTTTTTCTGACCTTTCTCTGCTTCCAGTACACTTACTGTTATGTGCCAAGAGAAACCCTTGCATGTACAGTGTTCTCTCCCAGAGCACTTTCTAACTCAGCTCCTTTCCTCCCTCCTGCCTTTTCCCCACCAGCTTGCTCTTGGCACATGCCTCGTTCGAGCAAATGTTTCCCCTGCTGAAATTCAAAAGGTCTCAGTTTTCCTCTTTGCAGTGGAACAAAATTGCTGACATTTTTCAACTTTTCCCTTCTCCACTTTCTTGGGAAATCTCAAGATGATCACAGTTTTTTCAAATAAAGATGGAGACCTTCAAGAGCACATTACTCTGGATGTGCTATGGTTCTCCAAAGGGAAAGCAGAGAGCCACGCTGTCTTAGAAAAACCTGAGCAGAACTGAATTAAGCTTAGCAGGACCCTAAAGTGGTACCTAAAGGCCTCCCACTGCTTCTGCTGAATCAATCTGTTTCCACTGCTGTTTCAAAACACCTTTCCTGGAGTGCTAATGCCACTGATTATAACTTATTCCAGCATAAAGTGGAGAAGACTCAACCCCTGTGCTTTGACAGTGAGTTGCACAGGGGCAGCTAAACAGGCTGCGAGAGGCAGAGATGCCCTGCCAGAAACCAAGATTAACCAAGGAGCCACCAGGACGTGGTGCACACTCGAGGTAAAGCATGAGGGCAGGTAAGAACTCTACAGCCCTCAACACTCCCATCAACCCAGGGCTTTCAAGGGGAAGGATGCTGACTAGAAAAGCTCCTTCGGGTTCGATACCACCAACACATGGCCAAAATCAGGGGGAGAATCCCCAGCACGGGAGGATTTCCACCATCTTGCAAAATAAAGGTGGTGAGACATTTTATTCTGGATGTGCTGTGCCGCAGCAGATAACTTGCTATGCTGTATACCACGTGAATTACACTGCTCTCCTCTTCCAGCACAGTGTTAAACCTCCACGTCCCAGCGCTTACCTTGTCGTTGTTCCTCAGAACCAGTGGCACTTCGTAGACCTCGCAGGGGACGTAGCTCTGAAATACCACCTCTGATGGGAAAGGCTGAAACAAGCTCTGTTCCAGGTCGACTGCTGAGAACTGGAGATGCAAGACAGAGCAGTGAGAGGTTCAGCTGCTGGGAGAAAGATTAATGAATGAGAATCCTACACTGATCTCCAGTGAAGTACAGTCTCTTGGTGAGTACATCTGCCCAGCTCACACTAGGGAAACAGTAGCTCACCCACCTGTGTTCTGAACTGATCAAGAGTTTCTGGACCACGCTAAGCAGGCTCGAGCTAAGAAGCTCTTTTGGTAGGTGTTTCTCCAGCTTTCCTTCTCCAAAATGCAAGGCAGCACTTACCTCCAGCAGAGCCCTGTGCTAACGTGGTCACACAGCTGCAGAGCACTTACTGAAAGAGCCGTGAGCACTCATGGAGCAAGTGAAACCCAAGAATTTACATGAGACTCCATGGGAAACAATTTTGGGATGATCTTTACTCTGAGACAGAGAGACCGAGTCCCACACATCCCCAAATATCTTCTTTGATATAGAGCCTAGAAACGAGTAAGAAGAGAACAGTACCAGAGGAGGTGAGGCCAAAAAGAAAGTAACACTGTAGTTAGGAAAAAGACAAATAAGGTGAATGCTGGATGGTGATAAATTTCAGCTCTTTTCTCAGCATTACTGGGCAACTTGAGTAAGACTGGACTTGGTATCTCATTTTTCCATGAGCTTTAAATGGATGCTTTACTCTATTTATTATTGCCGTTTTATTTAATACCACTGCGGAAGCATGGCTGAAAATATACACAAACAGCAAATGCTTACAGAGCAGAGGCATTACTTTGAGAGAATTCCTCCCTGCTTTGCCTCCCCTCTTCCAGCCGCACTGCTCCCACTCGAAAGGCACAGGCAGGTCCCCTGCTTCTCCACAGAAGTCACGGTCACGCTGAAGCTAGTAGCTGCAGCACACTGCCAGCTATTTGTGCACTCGTCTGATGTGTTCCCAACCTCCTGTGCTGTCTAGGGCAATCTTTAACCAATTTGTTACAGGTCTCTTGCTGGCAATTTTCCGCTCCACAGCCTACCTCAGTAATCTACCCATTTGGACTGCGTGTTATACTGAGCAGTCCTGTAAGAAAAGCAGCTTTAAATATACATCTAAGTAAACATCGGTCCAGATAGAGCACATCCACTCCCCACTGCCCAGGGTGATTCCCCTGTATGTCTGGCAGCCTGCAAAATCTTAACACCCTGTAAGGGTCGCACACGTTGTTCCAACCCAAAGCATTAATGCAATTGGTTTTGTTAAATCTGGAGTAATTACCACAAGCCCTCAGCCTTCAAAGGCCAACGCTGCCACCGTTGAGGGAGTCCTATGACCCCAAGCATTTGACAGTGACTACACCAAAGCAAGAGGTGGCTATTTCAGCA